AGCAGAACGACTCAGTCGTAGCTACGATTTAAACACAATTGTGTGACTTTAGTCGTGGTCCTCAGATGATAAATCCCAACAACCTTTGCTCTGACACATTCAAAAATTGTTTTTTTTGGCCTTTATTAGATAGGACAGTGAAAAGAGAGTCAGGAAAGTGGGGGAAGAACTTGCAGCAAAGGGCCATGAGTGGGATTCAAACCCATGGCCGCTGCATCAGGGACTATAGCCCCTGTACATGGGTCACCAGCTCAACCAGGTGAGCTATAGCGGCTTCCTAAAAAATAGTTTTTAATCCCATCCCCAGTGATTCTTGTCACTCCATTATCAGGTCATCAAAAACTTTGTAAAATACTTCATATGGTCACTAAATACTCATTAGCCTCAACTGTATCCTGGTTCTGACTACATCTATCTGTTGTCTGTAACACTTTTTAAAATTTCAATATTTCAATGTTGTTGTTTGTTTTAAAAAGACTACCCTATATGTTAGAATTGTAATTTTCAAGAACAGACTACGAGTGCTAAAGGCCTACAGTTACCAACAATCCTACCACTGCTCGCTTCTCGTTAAACTGTTAGCATTAATGGAGTTAAAGACTCCCGCGGATACACGAAACATTAAATAACAGTTACAGTACTCTTCTTCACAGTTTGTTTCATCAGATGAATTCTTTGCTGGAGCGTTTCTATATGTGTGAAAACTCCAATGTTCAGACAGAACTTCAACAAGATGCTGTTTTGGGGGTAAAATGAGCTATAAAATGAACCTTTTGGTGTTGTACTGTTTGATGATTTGGACTTCTCACAGCGCTAAAGTCCAGACATAAAGCTTCCCAGCAGTACGATTTGAAGCAGACGCACCGATGCGGCTGACCTGAGGGGCTGACCGGCCGTCGCCGTGAGGAGTTTGGCGTCTTTGGAGGCCGAGACGACGCGACTGAAGGTGGGGTGGACGTGTCTGAAGTTGTTCTGCAGAGGAGTCACCTGCTCGGCGTCCTCCTCTGTGGAGAAGATCTGTGAGGTAAACTGAGCCAGCTGAGGAGGAAAAATGCAACATTTTCTGCATCAAGAACAGAATCTCAAACCAGTAAAGAGGCCTTTTGAAGCTCTGGCAGTGTTGCTAGCCATACTGGATGCATATTACATCAAACTGAAAATGGAATTGACCTACTTGAGACCATGAGATGTAGATGGGGACTTCATACAGAGTCCAAACCACCACTTGAGAACACGGAGGGGTGGTGAGGCTGCCGTAATAGCGGTAATACTGACTCATGTTGTGCTTCGGCAGGAGGCTCATCAGCGGAAATGGCTTGACTTTAGCTGTCTGGCCTTGGGGAAGGATGCAGAGTCGTGATGAGAGCGCAGTTACAAAACACACCAAGCAGAAGGTGGGAGTGGATTTACCTTTGTAAGCAACGGAGGAGAGCTTTTGTGATATGTGTCCAAAGTGCACATTGTCTGCATAGACGACCTGCGAAACGGGACGGAGTCAGCACGGGTTTGGAGCAAAATGGTGCCAATGACTGAAAATGCAAAACAAATAAAACTGACATCAATGAAGAATCCGAGAACGGCGAGTCCGGTTGGATCGTCTAACGCTGCCGACATGTTTGGATGGATGGACTTCATGTTGACGACGTGCATCTGGAAGAACATGTTAAAGAAGCACAGTGACATTAAGGGGAGGCTGCACTGCACCAGTCTGCTGATAGCGTTGGCTGGTGACAGTGTAGAGCTGTCTACTGACCGTACTGTACCTCCATTGGGTATCTGCGTCTGTCCACCGTGTGCTCGGAGCCGTTGGTGGCCGGGCCTCCCCAGTGGAAGTGCAGCTGGATGGTGTGGTACACATCTGGAAGGCCTCCGCCGCTCACCGCCATCCCGCTGCCAACCTGCAGAATGACTACAGAAACCCCGGACATGTCAGCTCCAACACAAAGCAGACGCTGGATGAGTAAATGTGTTCTGTGCTCACCGGAGTGTCCGTCGTTCTTTAGCGTCCAGTGGCCTGTCTGGATTACATCGAAGCCCTCGAGATGCAGGGACTCCAGGGAGTCGTTTCTGGTTATGTGATGGTCCAGATCGATGGGAGAGTGATGGGATTCAAGTAAGGGGTGACATGAAGGGAACGTCTCTCCCCAAGCGTAAGGATCTGGAGGATGGAACGGGAACCTCATGAGCACCAAGTAAAGAGCAGGACAGAAGAATCAAACCTCTTCTGTAAGATGGTTATTGTGGCAGGAAAGAAGATAAATAATGAGTCCAAAAGCTAACTGGAAACACTAAAAAAGTTGACTGCCAGGTACATTTAAAGGCTATACCAGAGTTCTGATCATATCTCATGATACTCCTCAGCAGATGGAGTTTCCTAAGGGCTTCTCAACCACTTTGGCTTAAAGGTTTACACTGAAAGGTCATTCTTAACTTTGGTAACAGTAGTAGACGAAACAATACCACCACAGGTCCATTTAGTGGCTGATCCAGACCTTTCAGTCATTACAAACCACCTTCATGTTGCCTCGTTGTTAGGAAAATGTTCAGCAGCTAGATGGCCGATGGAGGTCAAACCCTGTCACAACATCTGCTGAAGAAGATGTGATCAAAAGCTCCAGAATGGCTGCTACAGATGCAAGAGTTTTTTCACTGTGAATACTTACATGAATAAAGGATGACAGCGTTTCCAAAAGGCATAAAGTTTCACAAGAATTGATCTAGTTTTGTACAAAAATGGAGCAAAATTAGCAAGAGATCTGGCTGATCAGATAGCATTTAGCAAAATCTCAGACCTTGGTCAGGTGGTGCTTCATAAATACTTGGAGATTAAAATAACTGATGTTCACAAAGCAGGAAAAGTCTATAAGAAGGAGAGAAGCTCCAGCTGTTAACCACAGGGCCGAATCGATGGTGCTTTTGTTGGAGCCAGTGGTGAAGGAAACGTTTGATTGAATTGAATTGGTAGAAGAAGGATCGGACTCAGGTAAATAGCAGCAAACATCACGCTGTCTGTAAAAGAGCTCGAGGCCAAAAAAAAAAAGGATGGTTTCGATGGCTTGATAATGATCCCAAACACTTCAAAACGTACAGTGGAAAACCTCAAGAGGTGCGAGTTGAAGGTTTTGCACTCGTGGTTCCCTGATCTGAAGATCATCAAAGATCTGTGGATCCACCTCAGAAGATAATCTCAAGAAGCTCTAAGCCCTGTGCAGAAAGAGTGAATGAAAATCCCCCCAAACAGGGACTGAACGACTCTTATGTGGCTCCAGAAATCATTTACAAAAGGTCTAACTGAGTCCTGACCACGCAGGGCGCTCAAACTTCTGCTTCAGACGGACGCTAAAGAGCACTGCTGCTCAAAACATGAATGAATTGGATCATCTTTACCTTCATGCCTTTTGGAAATCAGGTCATCTTTTATCCACTTTTCTGTTCACAGTAACAGAAATTTTGTATTCACCCGTAGACTTTGTGCTGAGATTGTTTTCCTTAAAAAAAACAACACACTGGGCTTTTCAGAAGTCGCCTATTTATCATCACATCTATCTTGTGAAACACTTGATAGTTGAACCTCCTGCATTATTCAGACGACAGTGTGAAAGCTTTAGAGGGGGGGAAAAAACAGTCCTTTGATGATTTTCTCACAACTCAAAGAACTATTCAGCATCCGACGGGCGCTCTGAAGGAAGACACTGATTCATTTTAAGGTGTCGCCGAACCCAAAATAATGAAAATCTGAAAACACAACGATAAAAGTGCAGCCTGTTGCACCTGAATACCTCCCATCAGACAGTAAGATATTCATATAATGTTGATTTTATAATGACTATATGCATTTTAATTGGAGATTATAATCTGTATGTTGCTGTCTGTGGCTTTAAATCACATTTTCACTTTTTTTTTCATGCAACAATTTTGAGAGTTTTTGATATTTTGCTTCCATAATTTGTCTTCTTTCAGACAAATGGCAAAAAAACAACAATAAACACTAAAAATATACATTCAGCTGTTTATTTTACTACACTTTTGTCTGTCTTTGGACATTTATAGAAATTCTAAAAGGGTAGAATTTTACATTACACATCTTTGAAGGCCATTCTCTCAAAATTCTTCTTATTTATCTTCTACTTGAAGCCAGAAATCTCCACTTCAGTAACATTTAGTGTTTTTAAATTCATCCATGTACATGTTTAGAAGGTTTCTACAGAGGGGGTTTGTTAATATTTCAGTCACAACCTGATTTTTTAGAACATTTTGCTCCTACAAAAATCATAAAAAGTACCCAAGGTTGATGTTTTTCTGGTTGTTGGGTGTTTTTTCAGATTAATGCAGAGGTGAAAATAAAAAAACACAATAAAATACTGATTCTAATATCAATATTGAGAATTCTGTTGTGGAAATTAATGCAAATTAAAGCATTTTTACACCAGTAATGCCCCATTTGTGTACTTAAAAATTCTGAAAACTTGTAAAGTCTTACTGGGGGGAATAAACTGGGGAAGTTTCACGTTCATATCTGTTATTTAAACGTTCACCTGCGCTCAGAAAGAGAAAAGTAGACCAAGGGTCACTCACCACAATGTGCCTCATTGTAACAGTAGTCCTCTGGAATATAAAAACAGCACAACGTTGACCAACACAACTCTTCTCTCGTCTCATTTGAATCACATGAAATTGAGCAGAAAGGATGTTTCGTGACTCCGGCCGGACACCTCACCTGAATCAGCGTACGAAACAGCAAAGGTCAGGAGAGCCGCGGTCCAAATCATGGCAGGATCCCGCAGGTGTCGGTATCTGAGGTAGACTAGAAGAAACCGGCGCCAACGTCCCACCCGCTTTAAATAGGAAGTGAGGTGAAAGCCGAGTTTTTATTTGCTCCTGGTCTGATCGGTGAGCCGTGTCATTTACCAGTCTGGTGGTCTTTACTGATCAACAGTCTCATTGATGCAACGACAGCTTCACCTCCTCCTCCTCCTCCTCCTCCTCCTCCTGCTGCCAGCATAGATGCCCACTGACTAGTAACAAGAGCCATTCATCTCCTGGGAAAGCCAGAGGATGTCAGCAGGCTGAATTAGAAGTGGACAGAATATATATATGGTATAGGGAGGCTGTAAAACTCAAACTGTAAAAGAAAAAAAATGTAAAAATCTAAATTTGCTGTAACTATTATTACTATAGTAGATTATTACTCCTGGCCTTGTCTTTACCCTTTATTGTTTTTGGTTCTTTTATTATTTTAGAATGGAAATACTTTATATTATCCCAGAGCTGGGAAATTATTTGTTACAGCAGCACAAAGAAAATATCAGATAGAAAATAGAGTAAATTAAAAAATAAAGAATAAAAAAAATGTTCTCTGGTGTTATTGTGCTGATTCATTTTGTAGATCTTTCACCATGTTTGAATCTATTTTTTTGGACTTTTGATGTTTAATAATCCTCCTCAGTATAGCCTTTTTCATAGCTATTATTATCATTTTTGACGTTTCACTTTTAATCCTTCCAGCTCACCACATCCATAATGCACGTGCAAAGGGACGCCCTCTAACTACCAAACAACGGCGCCAGTTTTATTGTTCTAATCTCACTAAATAGACTGATTGAGCGGCAAAGCTGATCAGCGCCGAGACACGAGCTGCCACTTACAATCCTCCATTTGATCTATAAAAACTGCTTTAATTCCCCAGTCAGCTGCCTCATAAATTCAATCGCTGCTGCCTCGACTGAACAGCTCAGCGTTAAGTGTTACGTCTCCCCCGTCCAGGAATAGATTTGTGTGATTCTGTCACTACTTGGCCCGTGCAAACAAAGCCTCTTTTCTTCAGCGACAATGCTTCCCAGCTGGGTATCACTATCTCCGCTCCGCCTGCTGCCTCATGAGTCACTGCGAGGTGCACTATATCCGCTTTCTTTAAATTATTGGAATCTTTTGACCAGCGTGGATTGGATTCACCCACCAGCCGGGGCGGCGGGATTTCCCCCCGCAACGCACCTTAAGCCTGTCTTGACATTTGGTCATCGGAGGAGATTTCCTCGACGGAGACTAAATGTCGCGATCGGACAATAAAGTTCAGCGTGTGTTCGGAACCACTGATGCACGAGTCGTCCTTCATGGTGCATTTTATTTGGCATTTGATTAGATGTACATCTACCTCAGAAAACAAGCTCGCCTGCAAATGAAGCAGTTTTTTTTTTCTTTTCTTTTTTTTTTTTTTAAATTGAAAGGCTATGAAATAAAAGACAATGAAATGTAGAATCTGTTGTATTACACACAAAACATTTCAAACCTCCCAAAAAAAAGAAAAAAAAGAAAAAAGAATTAGTTCTCATCACACCACCATAGAGTCGAGCACAGAAACTACAGTGTAAATGCAGCTGTTTGGGTCGAGGGCAGGTTCTGTTTTTTTTTTTTTTTTTTAACCAAATGGATATTAAACTATATGCAGGAGTCATTGAACCTACTGTACAGGACACACTGTTGAGCTAAAAAAGAAAAATCTCTCAGCATGCCAGAGGAAAAAAAATAACAAAAAAAACATGCACCACAGGTCCAAAAAGCAGAAATAAAAGCAAACAAACTTGATGAAAAAAAAAAAAAGAATCCAAACACCATCTCCTAAACACACATGCACACTTTTTCCACAATTTATGTGATTCTGTTTGTTAGATAATCCACTGTGGATTGTCGATGCAAAAAGAAAAAAAAAAAACAAAACAAATAAAAGAAAAAGAGGGAAATAAGCTTAAAGATAAGCATGAAAATAATCATGTTTTATACAAACAGTACATTCAGACAAACACACAGATGACGGTTGCAGCTGTTTTTCGAGGCAGATCCTAAGCGGTTTTGGATGCTGGTGGTTGTGGGTCGACTCAGGCCCGACAATCTAACTTCTTCGGGCTTTTTCTCCTTGAGCGAATCCAACGATTGTCTTCGTGACGGGGTTTGAACTCCTTCCAAATAAGACAAGTTTTGTTTTGTTTTTTTCTTATTTTATCCCACTGAGAAACAAGAACGGCAAACAGACCCATCAACACCGAGAAACACAGAAAAAAACAAAACAAAAAGACTGGCAGCTACAGTCGGTGACATTATCTCCCTCAGTAGCTGCAAACAACCTGCATGGAGAATGAAAAGAAGAGTTGAGGGATGGAGGGGCAGCATTCAAATGTGACAACTGATCGGCTTTTTTTTTTCTTCCATAAAACGAATATTAAATCGAAAGATGAGTTAGCAAATACACAACTATCCTGCAAAGAGCTGATGATAAAGTAACAACGATGATTATATGATGTAATGATTGGAACAGTTACTTTAAATAAATCGAGTTTTTTTTTCAAATTTAATGACGGGATGTCCCTAAATCTTCACATGTACACTTGAAAAGTCTCCATCGCTTCATCGATCGACCAGTCAGGAGATCCGCCTACGTCTATCCCACGATTAAACAATCGAGATCACAACCTGCAGTCATAAATTATTATCAAAAAAGAACACAAACTCATATTTATCACAACATTCTTTGATATGCCTCCAGCGAGCATCACCCGGTAAAAACCCCGTAGAACAGGAAACTAACCGTACCCTCTTTTCAAGGACTACAAAACATCTCTGGCTGCAAATATGTGCTATAAACCTGGAAGACAGCTTCTCGTATCAGACTAATAAAAGTGAGGGGATGGGGGGGGGGTTATGAGCAGGTAGAAATCGAGCTCTGCTGCCACGGACGGCGTGGATGTGGATGTTATTGCAGCTGGGAGACCGACGGATCAATACGTCCGTTTTAAAGTATGATGCAAACAAACAAAAAACAAACAAAAAAAACTGCACGAGGAACAAAAGCTGGCTTCGTCTGTCGTCGTTGTGCTGCGCTGAGACGCACAAGTTCTAGACGGGCGCAGACCTGAGGGGGTATTTACACCAGGGCTTCTCCAATTTTGAGATGTTTCCAAAAAAAAAAAAACAAAAGCTTTGCTCAGTTAATGCTAAAAGTAGGGCTCTCCCAGTCTGAGTGTTTTCTCTTTGTACAGAAACGGTCCTCTCTGCTCCCTCGGACGCCAGTGTCTTAAAAAAAACAACCTCAGAAGAAAAAGCTGCAGAAGAGAGAGAGAGAGAGAAAGAGAAAGAGAGGAGAGAGAGCATCCTCCTGCAACGCCTCGAAAAAACAACCTGGCTGCTCCGCCTCCTGATATGTCTGTACAAACTTGGTGTCCTCTCCGCAGTCAGCGTTTTTCCGCCAACAGTCTGCTGCGTCCTCTCCCGGCGCACAACACACTCATGACCTTCCTCAACCAGCGGGTAATATCCGGGTGCAGCTCCCTGCTGTCGGCCCACAGTCCTATACCACGGTGCTGAGGGAGGAGGTGCAGTCCCCGGGCATGGCGGTGGGGGCGTGGCCATCTGTCGGCGTGTCGGGCCCCACCAGGAGCGTGCTGCTATCTATGGAGTCCTCCCTCTCCTGAGTGGACGGCGCCGAGTCTGGCACGGGACCCTGGGCGTTGGGGATATCTGCCTGGAGCCCGTCTCCCATGGCGGTCATCTGGCTCGGCACCATGGCAACCCCGCCGTGTCCTGACGGCGACAACGAGGAGAGCAGAGGAAGACGGGAAGATTAACGCTCTGTGCATGCGGAGAGCCTTAAACAGCAAGAGGAAAGGAAAAAGCATGCCTACCGAGGTCCACGTAGAGGAGGCTGTCTGGGTTGATGGAGGCTTCGTACGGAGGAGGGGGGTCGTCGGGGTGCTGGATGTCGGGGTATTTGTAGGCTGCGTACGGAGGAGGAGGCTCCTGGAAGTGGAAAGCGCCTCCCTCGCCATCATCAGACAGATGCAGAGGAGTGAGACCGGTGCCAAAGGCGTCCGGGCCGTAGTCGAAGCCCGGGACTCGTCTTCCAAGGTTGAAGTGGTGCACTGAGCAAATACAGAAAGACTTTTAAATTCAAATACACTTGCGAGGAAAGGCCGTTTACGTGACTGTTATTATATAAGTTTCTGTTTACAAAAATCACAGACTGTTATTGTAATTCACCAACATGCCTCGAGTGGATCTGAATGTTTGCGTTTCCACCACCTATTATGTAAAAGGTATAAAGCGCTACAGTTCATTTAACTAAAACCATTCAGCGTGGTCTAACTGCCTGTCCAGAGGGCTTAATGCTCACAGTTTCCTCCGATCAGCGTTTCGATGCGTTCACGTCTTCTCTGCCGGAGTCTGTGCACCATGAAGAGCAGCAGCGACAGGATGAGGAAGGACGAGATGCAGCTGACGATCAGTCGCATCCCGCTGGCCATCGAGTCGAACAGACTGTTTCCGTCTGAGGGGGAGAATAGTTTGGTGTCAACTCATTTAGCTTAAAACGATCCTCGCGTGAACAAAAAGTACAAGTTTGTTTTGCTCCGGAAGAAATTCAGCAACACATTTAACAACAATTTCACACGGACCATTATTCAGAGTAGACACCAGATGTCTGCTCTTCTTTAAATGGGGCTAATTTTAAACCTGGTAATTTATTTTAGCAACAGAATTTGTTAAATATCTCTTGAACATGGTGTGAAAAAAAATCTGCGGTTAAAAAGTGCGACGAGCTGCATCAAATTAAAAGCTGCACAGCTGTCAGGAACTCCGTCTCGTGGGACGACCAGCGCTGCCTGAGTAAAGCTACAAGAATCCTCGGCGGCCCGTCGTCAGCGAGGCGCGTCGGGACGTACCTGGATCCAGGCAGGTGAACTTGCAGCACTCTTTGGGATCTTTGCGGAAGTGCTGGCAGCCCTGCGGCCGCTCGCACAGCGCGGCGACGCACATCTCAGGCTCGCCGTCGTGACACGTGCAGCTCAGACACGGGTCGTCTCCCTTCGGCGTGAAGTAGTAGCCCTCGTTTACGACGTTGTCTTTTATGTCCACACATGTTTGCCCTGAGAGGGAAAAGCGACATGAAGAGCAAAATAAGCACAACAAAACCGAGCGCTGCCTGGACGTTTCTGATGGAAAACACTGAATGAGCTCGTACTCCTCTTGCACAGGAAGGGGAACTTCTTGTAGCAGTTCTCAGCGTGCCAGCTGTGCAGGCCTCGCTCATTCATGCTTTTGATCTGAAAGCGCTGCAGCTGGGCACAGAAGACGTTGTCCTGGGTGGGAGACGCCTCCCCGAAATCCTTCAGACCCTCAGGTGGCAAAAACACCTGCATGGAGCCTGTGGAGAAACAAAACAAACATTTCAAATTACAGAACAGAAATAAATCAAGGAACTTTATTCGTCATGCCAGCTCACAGTCACATGTTTGTGGCATGAAATTTGTATTCAGGTCCGTTTTTTTAAAAAGAGAAAGCCTCATAAATAATAAGTACAATAAAACAAGAGCAAAATATAAGTAAAAATACAGCAATACAAGTGTAAAAAAATATAAACATCAGAGTAGAAAAGCCACAAATAGTTGTGTTCAGCACTAAATATGTGTGCAGCAGCGAGATAGACTGGAATATTGCACATATATGGTGTTTAAAGTGTTTAATAGTGCAGTCAGTATGTGAACTGTCTTTTTAAAAATTCTAATCTTTCATACCTTTGTATGCGACTTCCCAGCGGCCCTCCAAGGAGTGGTTCTGATTGGTGATCACATACTGGTAGCCCACCCAAAACCTGGAAAAAACAACCCACATTTTAAAAAGCAAATCATAACATTTACATTCACATGGTCTGTTTCAGGGTTGATGCAGTAGCCAGTATTGACCACTAGATGGCCTGCAACCAGTAACAGAGCACCATCGCTGCCTGACCTCTGATCCAACATGCACACAGTGTATTTATATCACAAAAAGGTAAACCTGCCACCTCTCTGCAGACTGAGCTGAGTTTCCTTTTCTCAGTAACTAAACATAAGAGGTGGTTTGCAGCTGCTTTCTGTGCAAATAAAGGCCAAATATAAAAGCCTACGGGCTGCAAAGTGGAGCGGTGGTTAGCACCGTTGCCTCGCAGAAACCTGGTGAGGACACCCGGGATCTTTCTGCGTGGAGTTTGCATGTTCTCCCCATGCAGCGTGGGTTCTCCGGCTTCCTCCCACAGTCCAGCAACATGTTGAGGTTAATTGGTGATTCTAAATTGTCCGTAGGTGTGAATGTGAGTGTGCTTGGTTGTCTGTCTCTAAGTGTGTCCTCAGCTGGGATAGACTCCAGCCCCCCCCCGCGACCCTAGTGAGGATTAAGCGGTGTATAGATGATGGCTGGATAAAGGCCTCCAGTAAAGGAAAACACTCACTTGCACTGGTCTCTGCGCTCACAGACTTTGTCATCAAAATCCACCTCGATCTTCAGTATGAACTGCAGCTCCTCGTTGGTCACGAATGTCGCCAGCGAGCCGTTGACTTTCTGACACGTGTCCACGGCCTGCCAGTAGTTCTCGTTCCTCAGGTAGACCTTGTAGCAGCTCGCCGTCTTCTCGTAGTGGTGCCACCCGCTGGGGCATTTCTCTGCAGGTAGAGAGAAGAGGCTTTAACAATAAACCTGGGCAACCAATCACGACGCAGATTCTGTATGATCGAGTAGAATAAACCAGCTGGAAAGCAAAGCGAGGCGCTTACTGTTGAAGCGCACGGGCTGAGCCACACCCATGACGTCTTCCACCTGGTCGTATCCGTTGCCGAAACGAAACCTCTCCTCCTTTATAGCTGCGATAAAAAATGAAGCAATAAAAAGTTGACAGGCGTGCTCATTTGTACGCACAGTTGTTTAAAAGCTTCTGATGATATTCATGAATTCAAAACATCTATGAGTCACAAGAAGGTACAAAGACATTGATGTGGGTGTGAGGAAAATAAAAGCAGAACCGCAGCGAGTTTGTGTTCTCTTATTAAGTATGATCGGGAGTTTAACGAGATTAAAATCTGCACGGAGGCAAGGCATTGTCTTCACGTAGCACGGTCTGACCTTTTCTTCCTGAAAAGATGTCAAAACAGATCTGTTGCAATCAAGTATTACATTTCATGTTACGCAAGAAAACGTGTTAAGGAAGAAGACATGTTGGAAATGAACAGCGGCAACACAAACTTCTTTATAGGTAGGTTGTAGCAGGGCTGGACAATTAATCAAATATTTATCACGAATAACAGGATCCCACAATGAAATGAACACGATCGGCTGTGATGTTGATGTTTAAAATACCCCACTCAGAGAACTCTATGGTGATAAAACTACTCGGTTCAGGTAAATTGACATTAAAAAGCTGATTTTAAGCTTTAAAAAATTATTTTTGGTCACAGTTTTGTTGAAGCTTCTGCACGCGACGCATTCAGGGAACATCGGTAAACTGCAGCGTCCAACAACAACCACAAGATCAGCAACTGAAGTACCATTTTATTTATGTTTTGCACGAGGAGATGCCCTGAATTCATTTTAGTTTAGTAGACGCTCTTGCACAACGCACACCACACTTCAGCTTCTCTCTTTTCTATTTTTTAAGAAATGTTTTTTTTATTATTTCTTATTATTATTGCACAGGCTTGCGAAACAGTCGCTTTCACGAACGAAAGAACAGTCGCGCATAAAAAAAAAAAAAAAGAGGGGGGAAACAGAGTGACATTCAGACATCTTTCCTGTCAAATTTAAAACAGGAACAGAAGCAGGCTTGATATTTAGAATCACTCGGGTTACATTTACAGATGATTTTTCAGGTAACACTGCACCCCCCGATCAGCTGAAATAAACACAGCGTTCCTCTTTTGCACTTGACTCAGTGAAATTGTAAACTGTTGACAGAAGAAGACAAAAGGCAGAATGGACAGGTTATTAAAACATCGATGCTTTATAATGACGCGGGGGGGTTCTGCGGCTGCACAGTTTGAATTATTGAAAAAAAAGCAACTCGGCTCTGAAGCTCAGACATAAACAACGCTGAGAGCAGAACTGAAATGGGGATCTAAAAAAAAAAATAAAGAGCAAATACATACAATTTCCTTCCCTTTAAAGTAGATTGCACTTTGCCTTCTCCCTCTTTAGACTCTTTTTCATTTCACATTTTTGTACTTTGCCAAGTAGGTTGACCGCACGGTTCTGTTTGCTCACCCTAACGGTGACTAGTCGTCTGTCTGCAACCCGGCTTACTTCTCCAATTTGTTTTTGCCAACTGGGTATTTTCCTGTTTCCCGTAGACGCTGTGAAGTTGAAAAGTTTCAGCCTGGAATTAGTGCAAATGATTGCTCCAACTTTCCGTGTTGCTAATCCCCCGACAAGAACACTGATTTCCGTGCGTGCTAACAACGCCCCTCGCTGTGGCGTACGTGAGCGCTGCTTTGGTTGTTTCTCTATGAAATCACAGCTTGATCTGGGAAAAAATCGTTCGATGAATAACAATCAGCAGATTTGCCTCTGAACGCACCGTATCTCTGCGTCGGTGCCAAATAACTGTTTTGGTGAATAAACAAAGAAAACAACAGGAAGTTTCTTCTTCAGCGGTCAGTGCTGCTGCCTGTTCTATAAACGGAGCTTTACTGGAGGATGAATGGAGTCCAGTGTGAAGCGTCCGCCCGTATACAGTGTTGTTGGCAGGCCTTCAGCATTAACTCAAAGCATGCACGGCTACGGCTGTATGGAGGTCACATGCTGGACTCAATCCTTTCAATAATTCCCATTATGCGGTCACAGATCTGGGGATAAGGTCTTTCTGGATTTGAGGAGAAAACAATAGGATTTCGGTCACTGGCTTAGCACTGCAATATCTATGCGGTGTTGAAGAGATCAAGCAGCAGTAAACAAAAACAGAAACACAGAAACATGTGCAACCATTCAGGATATCAGCGATCTGATGCCGTCAATCCAGAGCTGCTATTTTTGATTTTTTGATTCACTGTGACGGACGAGAATTATTTTTCCAAACCTGCAAACTTACATCTGAACTGGTTGGTAAAAGCAACTAAGCTGGACTTAGCTGTATTTAGGGGGTTTATTGCAGAGGGGGTTTATGTGTATTAAAAACAAACTACAAATACGACCGGGTCATCCGTCATCTGTCAGTTCAGTCAAAAGATGCCTCTGTGTTGATACTGCACGTTAACCTTCTGAACCGCAAAACCTGCTGCACTGTTTCAAAGGCTTTGTTTTTTTTTTTGCTGGTTTTAAATTTTTTTCAAATTACATCCTTTTATCACAACAACCACCTATAAAAATGGGAGGATTTTAATTTTTTCTGATGATCACGTAACT